AATTTCAAAGACTACAAAATTAAAAATATAAAAAAACAACTAAATAAATCAAAAATTTGGTTAAAAATAGACTGTTTATAATTTATTTTTGCTCAAAAAAAGTGCTACTCTAATTGAATTATTCACTTTACCACTTATGTTTATAAAAATTCAGTGGCGTAGTCACAGATATTCCCAATAAAAAGAAAATAATTTCCTCGTTAGGTCAAAATGAAATAATTATACATATTACCATTTAGAAGATATTATAAAAAACAGCTCTTGTAAATATGAATAAAAAGTGGTAAAAAGTCTAGAAAAGCATAACCCGCCACTGGTGTATATGTTCACAAGGTTTTTTTATACACAGTGTACCAGAAATAAGTGCACTAAATTAAAAAATTAAGCAGACTCGTCAACACGTTTGTTACTTATTTAGAACTGCATTTACGTTTATAATTTTTAAAAGTTCTCCAAATTCTCCTTAACAGTCTTAAACAATGTGGAAATTATAATAAAATATTTTCTAAGCAAAAACTGGACTCAAAAAGTACTAAACCTGAACTAGAAAATCACTTAAAAAAGTGATTTTAGACCTAAAAACTCAAACCACTCCACAACTATTCAATGTATAAAAAGCAGTAAAAAGTTTTGGTTGTATTTGGTTGGTAATTTTAAAAAATTCTCTAATTTTTTTAAACAGCAGACATTTTTTACAAAATAGTGTAAAAGTTATGGTAAAATAATTTCAAAGTTAAAATTGAACTCAATAGGTTCTAAATTTGCTTTAAATTTTATTTTGGACCAACGAAGTAAAACCTCCTTCATACAGGGTGAATAAAAAGTGAAACCAAGCGTTTTTTGCCTTCAGAAAGTAATAATTAATGAAAATTAAAGTGCTATAAAAATGTGAGCGTGTTTTGAGAATAAAATTTTATTTTGTTTATAAGACGTAAAATTTTGCTCCGAAAAAAGTTTTTTAAATTTTTCTGCAGATAACAATTTATTGGCTAATATTCGTCAAAAAATGTCTTATGTTGTTGTGTGCACCGTTCCCGAAATAAAAACAGGTTTTTCTCTTTCATATAAAATCGATTTATCGCTCTAGATCCCTTAAAAAGAATTTCCGAACAAAGGTTCATCAGAACGTTTTTTCTTATTTTGACCTAGAGAACCACCCCCCCAAAATCTTTCAAGTTTTTTTTTCGGACACCTGTTCATTTATCATTTTCAACTTGATCTATTTATTTTAATATTTATTGAATTCTGCATTTCGGTTAGTAAAAAATAGACATGCATTTCGTCGCTTTACGAGTTTCTAATTTTAACGAAATTACTAATTTTAAGTGAAAATAACTTCGAAACTTGTAACGCTCTCAATAATAGATGGGCTAAGTATCCAAACAAAACAATAATGACATTGACAAGTTTCAAACTGATTAAAATAAAAGCTCTGTTGTGAAACTTTCCAGTACTGACAATTTTTGCGTGGGTGTTATTTGGCAGTAAAAAAACTTGCTATTTAATTTTTTTATAATTGAAACTCACTCAAAGCTCTTATCATTATTAATGAAAAATTTTTACGTGTATTATGTGTTGCCTATATCATATCTGCATAAATTATCTAAAACTCGGAAAAGCGCTTAGGAATGCTCTCCGAGTGATTCCCCTAACCCTTGTTCTCGCCATTGAGCGATCAATTAACATTCGTCACGACCCATCTGGATTTATTAGAAAATTTCTCTTTTATGACCGACTCCTTTATTATTAATGTCGTTCATCAATGTCATTTGAACAATCGTGCGTTTGTACACATCCACATCCGATAAATTGACCGATTGTCCTTTGCGACCCTGAGAAAGAAAACATCTCCGTCCATTACCCTGATGTCCCAAAAAGAAAACTCTAGGGGTAGGGAAGGGAAGAAAAAACGCCCGGACTATAAATAGAACGAGAAAACACCAGAAAACGAAAACTTCCCGAGCTAAAAATAACCGCGAGGGTTAAAGCCCTCCGAGGTGAAAACTAGGTCGGATTTTCACCAAAATCGCTCGATACCAAAGGGAGGAAAACGAAAAACGAAATGCGTGATCGGAACGCCCACAGATGTACGCCATGGATAAAAATAAGCGAGGCCCCCTCATTTGGGGAAAAATACAGGAAGTATGCGGAAAATTACAGAACACCGAGAAGGTTTCTCGACCGGAAATGCGACTTGACAATGCTTGCAACTTCATAAAAAATACATCAATTATGACAACAGCGAGTTGGAAAAGTCCATTAGTAACCTTAATGGTAAAATTTAAAAAAAAAGTTATATAGGACATTGATATTAGTCAATATTATATTAGTCAACTTCGCTTAGTTTTAGAAATAAGAAGTTTTTTTGACAAAAACATGCACTTTTTAAAAAAATATTACACAAAAACTAAGACACCTAGAACATTTTTTTTCTTATTTCTGCAAAGAAGAAAGTACAGAATTTAGAGCTGTAGCAATTTTTTAGTGTTTTGCATTTGTAAAGATTAATAAATTAAGAAGTTTGTTAAAAATTAAATAACTTAAAAAAATTAAATAAAACAC